ATTAAAACTTCGTCATCATAAAATAAAATTTTAATGCATATTTATAAATAAGAAATAATATCTTTTTTCACAACAGAATAATAATAAAAATAATACTACCACGTAAATGGAATTATGTGAGAGCCAAAACAAATTTGGAAATTTTGAAAAACGGAGTGGGTCCAACACGGCACGCGCGCATGAGTCCAAATGGGGTCCGCCCTTGGACTCGTCTACAGAGGTTTGCGGGTAAAGAGTCAAAAGAGGTTTTTTTTTTTTCGACGATTTAATATTTAATATTTATATTAGAGGATTGATTAATTAATTTGTATGTTTTATGTAACTTATTTTTTGTAATGATACTTTAGACGAAGGAAAATTCTCAATTCAAATTTTCTTAAAAATATGTTATAAATAAAATAAAGAAATTTCAATTCCTAGCATAATTTTATTGGTAAGAATTAGAGAGTTGGTCCTTCACGACAAATTTCAACTCTACTTGGGTCAACGAACCAGCTTTTCACTTCTAATTTTTCTCCCACTTTATTAATCAGTTAATCTTCATCTTACCTTTAAACTGTGTCTTTAACTGTTTTTGTTATCATTACTTATATTTGTTTTGTTTTGATCCACATATTTCCTCTATTTTCACACGACAATTTCGTTTTGTTTTTTTTTTAATTCTTTGAAAAATATATTGTGCCTACTATACATTTATTAAAAAAAAACTTATGGACGAATACAAAGTACACGTGGACCATTACCAAGAATAGAGTTTTTGTTGAACTTTGCTTTACTACTTTTATTTATAGTTAGAAATTGCGTCTTTTCTTATACTTACTTTTTATTAATACTATCAAAGAAGCGTTTTGACTTATACTTTTACTTTTAATAAAAATGTTTCGTCAAAATTGACTTTATTTCACTTCCTACTTTCATTGTTATAATAAAGTTTTTAACAATGATGAATGTTAGTACTACTTTAATTTTTACCTTTTACCTTTTATTACTTTTTATGAAAATTAAGTCAAATCATGTTGTAGAAATAGGGAAATTATAAATGTTAGTGAAT